GTTAACAAAACTTGCATTTGACTTACCAATTAACAATGGACACTTTCATAACGCGGATGCAGGTAGGCAACGTCTCGAATATATTGCTCTAGCCATATAATGCCGAAACCACAAGCCTACTGCAGCTCTATCTCTATCGGTGGGAGGTAAAAACTCTGTACTTCCCGTCGTCAAACGTGCCAAGCAAAGGCATACGAGAGGACCACAATCCCCTCTGGCTCCCGGCGATTGCTGTGGCGCGGTCTCGTCTATAACAACTGTGACATTGAACTTCTTTGGCTTCTTGTGTCCAGAATGACTCCAATACTTAATCCCATCCAAGAATTTAGCCAAATGAGAGCTCCATCCCTTGAAAATATCTCTCAAATCAGACAGTGATATGTAATTGATCATGCTGTCATACACTATTATCTTCAGGGATGGGAGCTGAAGTTGGACGAGAAGCCAGTGACGACGTTCCAAAACAGGGATAAACACATGCGATCATAAGTAATAATTCATTTATTTGTGCACTTATTTATGAACACCTTTAAAAAATTTAAAAAATAAACACTAACCTTATCGACCTCCCACCATGCAGGATAAAGTTTAGCTTGTCCATTGCCCAACAAAAATGATTCATCTCGTTGATTCTTCAAGTGAACTGCGTGAAAAGCCGTCGGCATTATTGTATATAGCGAATTTTTTTTATTTTTCCTAAGCTTCCTTATTATTAGTAGACGTGACACCCACGCATCGATATGCTGTTTTACAAAAAAATACATATTAGTGAATTACATTAATTTTTAAACAAATTAATCAAAATCATATATAAGACAAATATAAGACTTACCTCCCCATCCAAATAGCCACTGTCTTCAACCCCTAATAGCACACCCCACCAAGACCGATCAAGCAACAAAAACATTTCATCGTTGAGTTTGCTGATGTCAGTGTAACACCCTTGGCTCCGCTCATGTAGATAAAAATCAACTGCGGTCTTAGCCCAAAGGGTATTATCCACAATTGTTTCCGGTAGTTGTCTCCTCTCCACTTCAGATACCGGAAGGGTACTAGCCGGTAACTCATACGAGAGCCAACTCTCATCCATCATGTCCGGAACCGGTGGGGGTTTCTCAATACTTCGATATATTACCCATGTGAATCGGGCTCTGGAATGGTGGGAGGGACCTCTTCAACGATGACAGTGGCCTCTTGAACGGTGGGGGGGAATCTTGAGGGAGAATAGGGGCCTCTTGAACGATTGGAGGGGACTCTTGAGGGATGACCGGTGAGTCGGGCTTCTTCTTGCGGAGTCTTCGCACCATTGGGGTGAACGGAGACATAATAGCACGTCCACGCCGTCTGATACGTGAACTCCGTCGTGCAAGGAAAACCCGACGTAAAGCATCCACCTTATCGGGCCGCTAAAAAAAATTAATACATAAATCAGTAAATAAACAGACATGATATTAAACAAAGACAAATATGTTTCAAACTAGCATTGTATTCACCCAAATCATTATTCTATCATAGTTCACAAAATGCTCAGATAACATTCCAGAAGTAAGCACTTATATAAACATTTAAAAGGACAACATATATAAACATTCCAGAAGAATAATAGTTTACTTTCGCAACACGAAACTTAAAATCGCAACGCGAAATGACTATCGCAACGCGGAAATGGCTATCGCAATGCGAAATGAAAATCGCAACGACAAAATCGCAACGCGAAACACAAATCGCATTGCGATTTTCATTTCGCGTTGCGATTTTGTCGTTGCGATTTCATTTCGCATTGCGATTTTGTCGTTGCGATTTCATTTCGCATTGCGATTTTGTCGTTTCGATTTTCATTTCGCATTGCGATAGCCATTTCCGCGTTGCGATAGTCATTTTCGTGTTGCGAAAGTAAACTATTCTTCTTCTACAAATTGAAACTTGAATGGATTGCATTACTTCAACCAAAAGACAAAAACAAAACCAAAAACAAATACTAACAAAAACAGTTTAGCGGTATTGGCAGCAACCGAATGAATTACGAGTATGAAAAATCTTAAACTTACCTCGTTGCGTAGAGTATGAACCTCATTCTGCAACGATGCTACCATCTCACGTAGAGCGGCTATCTCACCGCGTAATGTAGACACCTCAACACGCCATGCACCATCGTCTTTGTGTAAAGTACCGACCTCCTCACGCAAGGCATTGACCTCATCACGTAACTCCCCTAACTCATCCCGTTGAGGTGGAGGTGGAGAACAGGGAGATAAACGTCGTGGCATCTTTGCCGGTCGCCTATCTTGCGGTGATGGTGGAGAAGAGGCTCGATGATGTGACAGAATAGGTGATGGCTGTCGTTGTGGAGGTGTATAGCCGGGTCGATCAGATGATGGCTCTGGGTGAGGTGATAGCTCTGGGCGAGGTGATGGCTCCCGAAGTGGAGGCTGCTCATCAACCGTTCCATCAAAAAAACGCTTACTAGCTTGCCACCAATCAGTGGCAAGCTCAGCTTCCGTGGGTGTCAGCCTCTGTAGAGGAGTGTTGGCCTCCTAACAATATAAAAGCTCAAACAAAGTTAAACGTGTACTAGTAATAACTTGTTTATAAACATATGGTAGTATTTATGTTAACTTACATTATTTATTGTCGTATACCGTAGTAAATCTTCCCATTGCAAGGTCCGTTTCCTCTTCCAGGAAATAGCCCTGGGAATATCATTTGAAGTTTTTATTGCATATGTCTTCATGGCGGGAAAGGCCTCAAATATCCAAATCTACAAACAATATAATAACAAACATTAGTAATTGTTAAATAATTACTTATAATTTTGGAAACATCATATAAAAATTCTTACCTTAAAGGCCTAAATAAAGCCTGTAAAAGTGTATTTGGTACCATCGCCATGCAAACTTTTTCGATCATCCAAGGCAGACGATAACTTATTCCATGTAGCTTTCCATAAATACGAGCCCCACGGAAACAGGTTCCACGCATTTAGGTCTTCTACCAATTTGATTAGATCATTTGGAATAAGTTGTCTGGCCTCTCTGCCTAAAAAGCCGGTATGCAAAAGAATTAGAAGGCATACTCGGACAACGTCGACGTCATCCATCCGAGTAAAACCATCTTTATTATTCAAAAATCTTGTCAGGTCTTCTACGTGTAGACTCGGCCTCTCCAGCTCAGGAAAAACCCGGGATATCCATGATGGGCGGGTAATGTGTCTAGTGTACCGACCTACATCATCGTGTCCGAAGCGTAGACCGGTGATTAAGCAAAACTCCTCCCGCCCAAAACACGTATACGCCGGTGGAAAATCAAACCATATCTCTTCATCACGACGTTGTATAGTCTCTGGTAGATCGCTAGTCATGGTTTGAAGAAACAGGTGTGTCAACATCGCATCTCCACCGGGATGTTGTACTTTCAGCCATGGCCCGAAGCATGTATCCTCAAACATTTTTCTTTGTGCATGTGAAAGCTTCGACGCAATTGTTTTGGCCAGGCTGACTTTATTTCTCAAGGTCAATTGAGCCGAATAAAAGTTCTACAAAAACAATAAACATACTAAATTAGATATACCAAAAACTACACTGTGAAGATATACCAAAAACAATAATAAACATAAATAGTAGTAGTTTATTCTTCAAACTTAAATATGCAACACTGTGAATTTCGTATTTGTCTTTGTTTTTTGGTTGAAGTAATGCAATTCATTCAAGTTTCAATTTGCAGAAGAAGAATAGTTTCTGAAAATGAAAATCGCAACACGAAAATGACTATCGCAACGAGAGAATCGCAACGCGAAACTAAAATCGCGTTGCGATTTGCATTTCGTGTTGCGATTCTTGGTTGATTTAATAAGCAATCTAAGTGAAATGGTTAATCTATTATTGAAATTACCAGTAAACTTATCATCAATTTCAATATGAAAAACCTAATAATAATGCAAAAATTTCAAAAAGAAAATAATTAAAAAAATTAACCCTCGTTGGTTGATTTGGTTGATTTTCCATTTCTGATTGTGAGGGTGGCTCTGAGAGATGGAGATAGACGGATTTCGCCGGAGATGGGGACGGATTTCGTCAGAGATGGGTGAGAGAGTGAGAGATGGAGATGGGACTGAGTTGTGATTTTAGGTTTTAGGTTATGAGTTGCGATTACGGGATATACTGTGGACAGTTCAGTGTTCCAATATATTAATATTCATGTTTGGAATTTAAAAATAAAATACTTGGCCAGGATACTAATGGCGCTTTGAAAATCGCATTGCGATTATGTATTATCGTGTTGCGAAAGTCAGTATCGCGTTGCGAAAGTAAGTATCTCGTTGCGATTTTGTATTATCGCATTGCGATAGTCAGTATCGCATTGCGATTTTCCCAATTCGCGTTGCGATTTACTTATTCGCATTGCGATTTTCCCAATTCGCGTTGCGATTTACTTATTCGCATTGCGAATTGGGAAAATCGCAACGACACTGTAGACCATCGCAACGCGATTTTCAACTATCGCATTGCGAAAATGCAACGCGAATTTGCGATAATGGAGATCGCGTTGCGAATTAGCAATCGCATTGCGATTTTGTTGGTCATTTTGGCAAATCCGGAAAAAGTTGGTTAAAATCGTATATTATATGGGATTTTTGGTCACTGAGATTATTTTCTCTTAAAAAAAATCCCTCTTTTATATTTATTACTATTAATATTTATTATTATATTATTTTTCTTTATTTTCTTTATTTTATTTTAATATATCTTTTCAACTTCATCTGGAATTCTATCTTTTTCTAAAATCAAGAAAGAGTTTTATTAAATCAGAAACACCACAGTCCCTGTGGATCGACCCTACTTCTCTATACTACATTTTCATTTTTATTTATTAAGAAGCCATGAATTATTTTGATAGCAAAACGACGGTTATCAATAATAATGATGATTTTATTCATGTGAGTATATCACTTATTATTACATCAATATATTATAAGTTATAATCTTTAAGCTGCCTATAAGTCCTTAATCAGCATAACCATGGAGAGAATTTTCTTCTTGCTTCCTTTCCTCCACTTTCTTATATTTGTACCAAGAGGCACACATCAAAAAAATGAGAAAGTTAAGAGTACTCAACGCTGATAATAACCAGTAGAAATAGTTTAACTTATCTCTGTTGAGGTTGTTTGAAGCCAACCAACCTCCGCTGGCCTTGTTCACCACCTCCACCACCACTGAGCTCATAAAACTGCCAATTGCTAGTGAAAACCAGAGGAGCGCTGTGCTCGTACCTTTCATACCAGCTGAGCTCTCCGCATGGTAGAAGTGCAGCAGCCCCACCAATGTGAATATATCAGCCAACCCAAATACGACGTATTGGAATTCAAGCCAAAACACACTCATAGGCAGAGGCTCGTTAGAATCCACCATGTCGTGCTTATATGCCACAGATTTACGCCTGGTTTCAATGACTCCAGAGATTGCCATGGAAATGGTTGAGAGCACCAATCCCACTCCAACTCGCTGAAGATGCCGGATTCCTGTTGGAATTCCTGTTGTTCTTCGGGCAAGTGGAACGAAAATGCGGTCATAAATTGCAAAGAAAATCAAGTTGAATATCAGGGGAATGACAGGAAGGGAGGGAGCAGGGATTTTAAAACCAAATATATGAGTGTTCAGGGTCATGCTTTGTTGTACGGAAAATGTTTGGAGTTGAGCCAAACAAGTACTTAAAAAAATTGTGCTAAGTACGATTGGGAGCATGCGAAGTAAAATCTTGGTTTCTTCTACTTGGGTCACTGTACAAAGCTTCCAGGGTCCTGGAGTCGATGATGCTGATGCACCCCAAGAGGGCTCATCATGAACTGCTGCTCGATCCAAGAATCTGCGGATTTGTTGATATATTCACGTTAGGTCTAGTTCACCCAAAAAAAAAAACTAATAATTTTTAAAAACGAAACCTTGTACCTAAACTGACTGGTTCTCTGAATAATCTCATTTGACTCCACCACTGTTCCTTTGTCATAAATCTCATGTAGTTCATCTTCCTTCCTTGGTATTGTAAGGTGTCGGTTGCGGATGGCTGCAACAAGTACCTTGAAACAGGAATATGGAGACCATGATTCTTGAACTCGCCTCATTTTCACATGGAAATGAAAAATAAAAATTTTACTAAAAGACTTACCTGTAGGATTCGAATAACAGGACTTCCTTTGGGTGAATTATCCCTATAAAATGGCTTGCCAATGCAGAGAAACAGAATTTCAAGCAAGGCTAATACAGTGCAGGCTCCAAATGCCCAATCCCAACCTTTGTTAGAACTTACCCACACTACAAAAGTGACCCCAGCTAAAGATCCAACTGTCATACTAAACATGAACCAGTGGAAAAAGCTTGAAAGTTGAATTGCCTCTTTCGGGTCCTTGCTGTCGAACTGGTCAGCTCCCAACAATGGCAAAGCCGCCTTAATTCCACCGGTTCCAAGCGCCACCAGGCATAGACCAATGTAAAGAATTGCTGCCTCGCCTGTACTCGCAGGCTCGCATTGCTTTGAATTATCCATGCAAGGAGTTGGCCTCAGTTGGTCGAAGTGTGCTTGTACTGTCAGCAGGACATATCCCTTCAAATTTGTAAGCATCTGGTCAAGTCTCATTCGATAAGATGATTTTAATTATTTAATCAAGATGAACTACTATCTATTTTTTTCTAAACAAACCATGGCTTTAGTTCGTTACTGATCATACACATAGACACACATACATACATCCAAGTCACTCATTAATTTAGTTATAGATAGATCAACTTTTTTAAAAAAATTAAAAATTTCGTTAATTAAAATATTACTTTAAAGAAGTTACTTTGTCATTAAAATTGAAAAAGTGTTCTTTTTATCTAATATTATAATAGTTTTAGTCTTTGAACTTATACGTTGTTTGGTTCTAATTTAAAATAATTCAATATATTTAATATTTTATATATAAAAAATCATTAATTTAATTCTTTTTTATGATTTTGTCAAACCATGTGAGTCCATCATATCAAAGATGCAGTTGGGTAATTGTAATCTACCATAAAATAACAAGAAGTTATTGTTATACTGTTGTTATATCAAGAAAGTAATAGAAAATTAATATAACATATTAAGGAGAAAAACAAGGAATTTAGATAACATTTCGAAATATTATGACTAAATTAATATCATGTCTCATCATTATTTTGTCTAATATTTAACAAATGATTTATTTGTAATAATATTTTAATTGAACGTCTAAACTATAACTTAAAAATCGACTCATTTATAATCGAACTAATAATTGAATGACTTAAGATGTATTTTTCCATTAAACAAATTAAAACCCTATTTATTGTTCTCTTTTAACAACTGTATTGTTTGGCATTTAACAACTACTTTTAATATATAATTTATTTATTGTTTGAAACTTTTGACCAGGATAAATGATAAATAACTATTTCACATCGTATAAAACAAATGGATAGTAAATATTTCAGCATTCTAAAATTTTTCAATCATCTAATAATTAAAACTCAAATATCTTTGTAATTTTTGAAGCTCAAATTTGAGACTTATAAGAATAACAACTATCACTTAAACCACTGAAATAGTTTGGTTCATATAGGAGCTCAGTGTTTTAAGTTCAATATCAAGTGTATAATGCATTGATGATATGATTTGTGAAAATTGTTTTGTTATATGAGAAAACAGAAAGAAAAGGGGGGAGGGATAATTTTGTATTTTTATAATTATTAATGGGCTGATTCCTCTGATCTCCATGTATGAAATTAACGATGATAGATAACGTACCAGCAATTCCAGGAATCCAAAAAGGACACAGTTGGTGAATCTCGTCAAACATGTATCAGCAAGGACTCCTCCTAAGAGTGCAAGAGTGAATGTTATTCCCATGAAGTTTGTAAGCGTGTTTGCAGATTTCGTCAAGCTGAAGTTCATATACCCTATAAAATAGGTCACCATGCTCACTGCATTTGCTGTAAACGCCGTGCTCTCCAGCCCTTCCGTCGCTGCATATATGAATCAATTAATTAACATCACATAAACAAATCATTTCAGCAAGGGTTAGGGTTAATTACCATAGACGAAAAGTGCAGCTTTAATCCCTCCTACCCTTTTGTCTTGCTTCAGTAATAGTGCCTGTTTGCAGTGTAACAAGAAACTGGTTAATAACAAAAAATATGATAACCGAACGATCACAAAAATGGTGGCGGCGGTGAACTGGTGGCTGCTTCTCCAGCACCTTCCATTCATGAAGAAAGAGAGAGTGGCTAATTAAACAACGTATCCCTGTCGATAGTTTTGAAAAGCATGTTGAAATTTAAGTCGGGAAACATTTACCATTTCGTTGAGAGAGCTTGTTTTCTTCGTTTTCTTTCTTCGTTTGAGGATGCAAGAAGATAGAGGCATAAAGAGAACGTTGGTTGTCGGTCAGTGACTGCTGGGATACAGTTACACATCAAACCCGATGAATTTATTTATATATGCATGCACATTTATCCAGCTTTTCTTTCTGTCTCGTGTGAACAAACTCTATCATTAAATAATTGAATTTGAACTAGTTAATTTAAAAATCCAACTTGCTTCGAACCTTCAACCCCAGACTATACATCCATTGCTTGCTTGACAACAATCATCTATTTTTAAGTAATTTCTGCTATGACTATTTGAACCATAAAACTTTACTAAATAACTTAACAATAACGTTATTGTTTTCTTTGTTCCTTTTTTGACTATTCATAAGAAATTCTATACTATAGATTGTTTATTTGGTTATTATTTTATCTTTAATTTGCTCCTTAGTTGTTGGTTTTGTGACTGATTTGTTGGTTTTGATTCATTGTTTGTGCAAAACATTAGATTTTGGAAATTGCACTAAAATAACATAATTGTGCAGTTTTTTTATTTTCGGAATCAATGTTGGATTAGTGGGCATGACTCTGGGTATGACACATCTGACATGGCGTTGAGTCAACAACTTCTAGAAGGTCGAACAGATTAACCACGTTTTTTAAATTCGAATTCAATATTATCTTTTTTTTAGGATTTTAGTTTGAATTTTTTTCAAGAATTATCTTTAGGAATTATCTCTTATTTTTAGGAATTATCTTTTCATTATTTTTAGGGATTTAGAAAGCTATAAATACCCACTCAGATAAAGCTTCAAAAAACATTCAAATTTCATTCTTCTTCTTTGCTTTGGTTTTATAAAAGTTATTTTTTTCTTTCTTTATTTTCAAAGTTTTTATTTTTATTTTCAACATGCTAAGTATGATTGTCATATTTAGCTAATTTCTCCATAAGCTAAGGGCTGAAGCGATGACTCAATTATGATTGTGAGGATTGAAACAGGTAAAATACCTTCGGGTAATTTTCTCAATTTTTTGGAGAATAGGATTGGCAATCGGTCTTTACTTTAAAATCAAAACGCTTTTAAATTAAAAAGAGCTCATTGTTTTGTATGTTGTTTTAGTTTAAAGTTAGGAGGAAGAATCGGCTGGTAACAAGTTCGACTTCCTGTGAACACACTTAACGGTGGTCCGCTAAGAAAAATTGAAATCAGACTCGATTCTCATTGAGACAACATAGTCTGAGTCATGTTTTTCTAAATCTTTAAAACTAAGTTGATGTTGACGACGATAGTCGTAGTTAGTCCACGTAAGGACTAAAATTCAAAGATAGTTTTTGGATTATCTGTTTACAAGAGAGAGAAATCAGTTACAGGGGTTGAGCCCTATTGATTATAAACGACGTATATCCGAAGAGAAAATCTATTTTGATGATCAGTTGAAATTGAGGCAAAGCTAAAGTCTGAGGATGTTTTCACCATAAGTTTTCTTTATATAAATTTATTTTTAATTAATTAATTTATTTATTTTATCATCATCTCATATTTTAAACAACTTAAAATTCTCTCCTTTTTAGTATCATATTTTATCCAAATCTCTCTCTTATCTCATCTTTATCCAGATCCAAAATTAGAAAGTCACAACTTCATAAACTCTAAAGTTCCTATAGATCGACCTTGCTTCTTCTTACTATTTTCTTTCCTTTTATATATTTATTTTTGAAGGAAAATTGAGAAAAATATCCGAAGGTATTTTAGGTGTTTTTCAATCCTCACAATCAGAATTGAGTCATCGCTAGGAAAGAGAATTTTTATAAAACCCAAAGCAAAGAAGAAGAATGAAATCTTAATATGTTTTCAAGCTTACTCTGAGGATGTATTTATAGCTTTCTAAATCTCTAAAAATAATGAAAAGATATTTCCTGAAAACAAGAGATAATTCCTAAAGATAATTTTTGAAAATATTCAAACTAAAATCCTAAAAAAAGATAATATTGAATTCGAATTTAAAAACGTGGTTGATCCATTGATCCTTCTAGAAGTGCTGATTAAACCTTCTGGAAGCTGCTGACTCGACGCCACGTCAAATGCGTCATGCCCACTAATCCAACCTTGATTCTGAAAATTAAAAAAAATAAAGAATTATTTACTTTGAGTGCAATTTTCATAATCTAATATCATGCACAAAAATAAATTAAAACAAATAAATCAACTACAAAAACCAACAACTAATGATCAAATTAAAGACAAAATAATAACTAAATAAACACCTATCATACTCTAATAAATAGTATTAATAGGACTCATCAGAATTCCATCAATCACCGACGATATTAGTGTCATTCTATAATTTTGAAGACAGAAAGATAATTTATTTCTTCTTTCTTCAATAAAAAAAAATTACAATTACCTCTTTCTTTCTAACTTGATATTAGTCGATCATATCAAAAAGAGTAGACGGTAGTCGATTGCCAACTCATTATCTTGCGCTTATCATATTTTACTTCTTTTATCATTATTTCTCCCATTATACATCAACAAATAATATTCAACAAAGTTGAAAAAAATTACTATAAGGATCTCCTTAAATTCTGATCAAAATATCTAAACTGCATAAGTTAGGTTAAAGTATTAAAGTAATTACATATCAGATCAAAGTCACATCCTTTTACCAACAACTAGTTTATTTAATGGGATGAGATATTATGTCCCTTAAACAAGATCAAAAGTTCAAATCGTGACGTTTACGAATATAACAAACTGGGTTGGGAGAGTCTCATTCGCCTCTGCAATACCCGATCTGGATTATTCGGTCAATAGATCGGATATCAGTGATTAATTCAAAAAAAAGTCATATCCATTCTTTCATACTAAGGATAATAACAGGAATTGAAAATTTAGATATACATGTAATTAACTTTTTTATAAATTTAAATATATTCTAATTAGTATTTATAGTAAGTTAAGAAAAATACAAATAATTAATCTTTAAATATTTACTATCAAATTTTATTTTAGTAAATGCAAAATTTTGTTAGATATGTATGTTTGAAAGGTAATTTTATTAATTATGATTCAAGCAATACTATTTAAATTTAATATATATAATAAACAGATTTATAAAATTATATTTAAAACATAATTTTTTTTACATATAATTGATCTGTTTTCATCCCTATTTCCTACAAGCAAGATCGGATTAGTAGATCTTAACAAGATAATCAAAAGGAAAAGAGCATCTAGTTGTACTAGGAAAAAATTTATTAATAGTTTCACTTCTCATTGTTCCTTGCTCCCAAAGTGTCAGCACTTGCCTAGTCTCAGTCTCTCATGAGTAGAATCACCTAATTTATTGACTCGATGATATTGTGGGATATTCTAATGGCCGCGGATCCGGATCAAATCCCCTCTATCCTCTTTTAAAACTATTTCTTCTGGCACTTAGCTGTGTACCTGTTCCATTTGTTAATCGTTTTTGCATTTAAATTACTACCCGTTGTTTCCGGCCGTACATTATTCTTGATCGTAAATTAAGCTACTTTTTTGAATGAATGTTAATCCTTAGTATCATCGTCTCAGCATGTGCCCTCGCTCGATTCTACCACTTCCTTGGAGAAATGTAGATGCTGAAAACCCTAGATCTAAGGATTAACATTTTTAGTAACCTATCCCTTTTAGAGTACCCATTTTCGTGGAGATCACATAATTCTATTAGGGAATAAAAATAGTTTTATAATGATAAGATAAGAAGATTGTAAGTAGACGTATTCATGTGGGGGTAAATTGACTAGATTCAAATTAAATTTAAACAATAAAAGCTATTGTTGTTGTTACTTGTTATTTATTAAATTCTTCAAGGTAAATGTTTTAAAATAAAGCCCTAGAACAATTTTTATGCTGGATCTCATGTTCTTTTGTTTGTGTTGAGCCTGGTGATAGTAACAATTTTTGCATAAACTATTGTTGTTGTTACTTCATTTTTCTTCTATTTTATTCAGTTTTTTCAAAATGTTTATCTTTAATTATCTAGGGTTTTATTTGGAAAACATAGTGAGGTTCTAAGCTGTTAACACCTCAAGTTGCTTTCCCTTGGCAGCTTCGCTACCATAATTTTCTTCTTGGTTAATGACTTCGACCGTCTTATACCTATACCAAGAAGCACAAGCCAAGTAGATAACGAAATTAAGCACGCTTACCCCTGCCAATAGCAAGTAAAAATAGTTGAGGTTGTCTCGGTTCAAATTGTTATTACCCAGCCATCCACCACTCACCTTATTCACCACCTCTACCACCGCCGAGCTCAAGAAGTAACCAAAAGCCAATGAGCACCATGAAATGGCCGTGCCCAACGACTTCATCCCTGCCGAGCTCTCTGCATAGAAGAATTCCAGCATCCCAACGAATGTGAACATATCAGCCAACCCAAATATAGCATATTGGTATCCAAGCCAAAACACACTCATTGGCAGAGGCTGAAGAGAATCCACCATGTTGTGTTCACGCGCCACTAATTTGCGTCGCGTTTCTACAATTCCAGCGACTGCCATGGATATGGCCGACAGAACCAACCCAACACCGATTCTCTGAAGATAACGAATTCCGGTCGGGATTCCTGTTATTTTCCGAGCAACCGGGACGAAAATGCGGTCATATATTGGGATAAAAATGGACATGAACACTAGGGGGATAACCGGGATGAAGGGACCAGGCATCTTAAAACTAAGGATATGAGTATCCATGGTTGTGCTTTGCTGGACGGAGAAAGTCTGGAGTTGGGCTAAACAAGTATTCATGAAAACGGTGCTGAGTATAATTGGAAGCATTCTAATTACGATCTTTGTTTCTTCAACTTGTGTTACTGTACATAGTCTCCAGGGCCCAGGACTTGTTGATGTAGATGCATCGCCAGAGGTCTGCCCAATTGCTGCTCTGTCCAGAAACCTGCACTTATGGTAAATGAGAGCAAAATTCACAACTTATTATAACAAAAGATACTAAGATCATTGTAAATGGTTACCTGAATTGATCAATTCTTGGGAGAATTTCATTGTGCACCCCTGCT